ACACCCTATATTGGATATCTCTATAGGACTCCCCCATAGGGCAGTCCTATACGAAGTACGAAGGCATCCGGGCTGATTTTTCCTCCAACCTTGTTCAAACTCTACAGATCTCAAAATTTACATGGAAAATCGTGCCTCTGAGGCTGACAAGCCCCATGACTGTCAGCCTGTCATTAATACTGAGATGGCCAAAATGAAGATCCTTTGATACTTCTAAATTAATTTTGTGCACAGTTAGAAAGGCAGCTATAAAATTAGGCAGAATATATGAAAAACCTATTTAGTTGGTCTTTCAAAGCTTCAAAGAGGATTTCGATAAATAGGTCAACTTGTGATGTTGTTTAGAAGTCAACTAAATTCTCTTAAGTATTAAAAATGGCCTTTAAATAAGCTTGTGAGTTTTTCTCCCCCATGGCTGCAAGGTCTCTTTGTCTGTATGTGTCTCTCTCTCTATATGTTGTATATGTGAGACAATTTTCTACCTACAAATGGTATTGTTAAGGCAAGCATTTATAAGAAATGAGTATTCTAAAATTGTCAGAAATATGAAAACTAACACAAATCTCTTTCAAGTTTATGTCATCTAAGATTAATCCTTAGTAAATAAAAGCTAGCTTAAGTTTGTTGGTTTAGGTAAAACACACACTGCCTTTATATGACTTTATGTCTATGCACTATGTTCCTAGAGTTTATAAAATGTCTTATATGTGCCAGTAAATGTCTATTTCTAGCAGTTACAAAATATCTTCATATATCTGCCAAGCTAAAGAATGATAATTGCTTAATTACTAATTTTCAGTAGAGACTAAGTTTTAAGAGTTAACAGGGGAGGTGGGAGATGATAACGGGGCGGGGGGGAGGGTGAAGGGTTTTCAGAAACAACTATAAAAGACACATGGACAAAATGGGGGGCGGGTGGTGGAATTAGAGAAGGGAGGTGGGGATGGCTGGGGTGGGGGGAAGACATGGGAGAAGGGAGGCAGATGATTGTACTTGAACAATAAAAATTTTTAAAATAAAAAAAAGAAACTAAAGTTTTAAGGGTTAAAATCTTAATATATGTAGGAAAACTTCTAGGGTATAGTATATGGGCAAACAATGGCTGTAAATTAAACAAATAGGTCTATAAAAAACTCAAGACAGCAGCTTGCTTCTTTCCTGCTCTCTGGTTCCCCATTTTTTGGTTTTTGCATTTCTCCATGCATCACAATACCTTTAAACTAACCTTAGATGAAGGAACTTAAGAGTCGAAATTATTGAAAAGAGGTATCTTATACCACTGCCAAGGTTTGATAAGAGTCACTTCAAGAAAATGTGAAGTTGGTAACCCCTTCCTTTCACAGAGAGCTCCCAGGAGACAGGCACTTTAAAGATCATTTGACTGCCACCTGGAGATTTTGTTTAATGAAGAGGGCATCAAATAAAAGACACTCTCCAACCTCACTGGAAGGGTCCTTGCCAGGCACTTGTGAAAAGACATCTTATTCCTGTCTACATGCATTAAAGACACACCTTGAGGACAAAAAGCAGCTGACACCAGAGGTAGACGACTATCCTAAGACATCAACAAGACTTGTATATCTACAGATTGATACTGAACTCAGCAACCATTCTGTTGATCTTTACCTGGCTACTAACAATATTAGTCATGATAATAATTGTATTTATTCTTTGGGTTTCTCTATATTGTCCGACTGTTTATGATTACTGAACACGTATAACTGTTAATGCTCTTCATGACTTATGTAAATGTTATACTAGATGCCATATATAGAAAAATGTGACAGAAACTTGTATCATGATAGTTCACAGGACAAAAATGATCCACAGTCTATTTTTCCCAATGAAGGCCATTAAGATCTTGAGATGGCACAGGAACCCGGGCCCAGGATCCCAAGGACAATGGAAAAGAAAAACTGCAGAAGTACTCTGCTGCCCCTCACCTGATACCAAAGACCCTAGGTAGCTAGAAGAAACACTGATAAGCCAACCATAAGAATGTCACTACTCCTCCACTCTTTGCTTGCTTCTCCAATCGAATGTGGAAAATTCCACAAGCCCACCTTTTTGCACAAGCCTGCTTTATCCTCAACTTATAAAACCAGACAACTGAGCCAGACCCTTGAGCCAGTTCAGAGAACCTTCCTTTCCCCTGTGCTGTCTCCCATGTGCCTAAAGCATAAGCTTAATAAAAATCTGTCTGGAAATTTCTCTAAGGTTTCCTCTTGATTTCTATCTTGGGTAACCCAAGAACCCTAATGCCAGTAACAACCTGATGCCTTCCATTTATCTGACCTTCCTTTTTGGGAAAACTTTGGCCTCAGCTCAGATCCCATGGTTACAGGACTCCCCCATCCCCATTGGCCAGTAAGATGACCTTGATACTGAGACTTACTAGGAATGAGTCTTCCTAGCACTGTGAGACCACACTACCCAACCAAGAGGTTCATCATCAGTGTATCCTTCAGATTATTTAGGATGAAGAGGGAAAACTGAATGAAAAAGGTGTTCTATGGAAAGTAACCTCACAGGGTGTTGTGATTGTAAGTTCCTAAACTTGGTAGGTCATGGTGGGTGGGCATTCCCCAGACATAAAACCTCTTTAGTAAAATATTTATCTTTGCCTTAAGTAAGCCCTGTCCCTTGTTTCTGTGCACGTAGATGAACTCGTCTTTGAAATAACCACCCTTAAGATGGCACAGAATCTTGTTAACTATCCTTGAGATCTTACTCCTTGGCAATTATCAGTTTGGCTCAAATAAATTTTTATAATTTTTTAAAAAGTTCTGTATGCAAATATAGCAACAAAAAAATCTATGAAGAATTAACACACTGCCCCCCCCAAGGAAATGCAATGTAAATGTTTATTAAAATTTTTCAAAATTTTTTTTGCCTTTTCTCCAAATAAGCCACACACTACATTACCACTGCATAATTCTAGATAGGAAAAACTATATTTAACACTACATAAACTAGCATGGTACTCTAGGAAAACTGCTACTTAGTAAACAATAAAGATGAAATTTCATTCCTTCCTATTTTCCCATCAACATCAGTGCTAGCTGACTTCAGAACTTGTCAAACCCTGTATTTGTTGCATTTTGACAAGAAAAAAAATGTTTGAGCACTTGGTGCTTGCTCTAGCAAGGGACTGTTCACACTTGCTAGAACTTGAATGAGTCATGACACTGCCCCCCAAGAGGAAATGCTTCACTGTTGGGTACTCAAGGGTTTCAGCATTCATCATGAGGTCCAGAACAATGCTTTCTAATTTAAAAAGACTAAGGTAATACTGTATTTTCAAAATAGAAAGCACTGTAACTAATGTGACAATATGCAAAAAGAGGGAGGAGAGGAACCTAGGAAAGCCATTTCAAGAAAGTACCATATTTTAAGGACTTTAAGACACACCTAGGTATTAGAGGAGGAAAACAGGAAAAAAAATTTTGAAGCAAAAAATGTGGTAAAGTATTTAATAACCTGTGGTCCTGCTCCACTGCCGCCCGCCCCCACAGTGAGCCAGGTAAGCCACATTCAAACTATAAGATGCACCCCCTTTCCTCCCAGATTTGGGGGCGCATCTTATAGTTCAAATAATATGGTACATTTCTATTAACTATTCTGTCTTCTGGCATAAGTAACATTCTATCTTAAAGAGAAATAAAACCCCCAACACTACACTAGATACAATTTCAAAATACACTATAATGTACCACCTACCAGTTAAAATAAATAATGAAAATTCAAATTATTTCTTTAAAACTGCCCCTAAGAATGGAGACTAGTAGTCTCATTCTCAACACTTCCAAATAATTCCTAAGTTTTTACATCTCAACAGTCAACTAAGCTTTTGTTTTCAAACCTGGAATATCCAAAAGAAGCAGAACATATGACAAATGATGGAAAAATACTGTAAGATTTTTCTTAAATGTGTAACATAAACACATATAAGTCAGACTTATAGAATACTGATCCAAAGTACTTTTCACTTTTATAAGCATTAAAGTCTATCATAATGTGAATTCTCTTAGAATGTAAAATCTATGATTAAGTTTTAACATACCCATTTTTTGGATTTTAATTATTGCTACCTTAATTCACCTCCATGTAACTGACCTACCTTAACCAACATTTTTTTTGCCCTTTATTAAATATGCCACAGCATGTATGCTATTTTTAGTGTACCAGGCACTTCTGATCCCACTAGTTGAGATACATGTTTTAATAGTCAGTTGGTTGTTCCCAAGCCTCTTTATGCCAGTTTACTTGTAATTCCTGCATAACTTAAACATTATGTAAGTGTATGGAACACAACTACAAAAAGAGCTTTGTTTCTATGTAAACTAAGTTCAAGGAAGCTAAGTAGATTATTCAGTAAAAGTGAGCCATTCTTTTAAAAGGTATTGAATTAGATAAAGGTGAGATATCTGTAAAATATTAGAAAAAAATTCATAAAAACCCAGAAAGAATGTATATCTAGGTTTTTTCAAAAGTATCTTCAAGCTTTTACTCTACTTTAGAGAAATGAAAACTGGAAATTGCAACTCATGCATTATAGGTATAGTTTATACAAGATCAACTTCTCTCAACTCCATATTCAAAGAGATGGTGTTAGCTCTGTATCAAAAAATTGGCAAATAAATGTAGATTTATATAAGGTAAAATTTTAAAATGTTAAGATGTGCATTTTTTTATTTTCCTGCTTTAATGTTTTCCATAACCTACAAATCTCAACAGACATTAAGACTTCTAACAACTTTTTTCTTGAAGGCCTTGCTTTACCAACTAGATAAATATTACAAGTCTATATAAAGTCATAGTATGTAGTAATAAACACCCTCAAATAACTTTATGGAAAAAAGTATTAGACTGTATACTCCACAAAGGCAAGAATCTTTACCTACTTTGGTCACGGACGTAGACCAAGCACCCAGAATTGTTCCAAGTATATAGGGGATGCTCAATAAATATTTGTTAAATGAAGGAGAATGGAAACTTACTGTGATGACAGCTTTGCTAAGGCAGATGGATCCTCTGCAGCCATATTCTGTCTCATCTTCAGATTTGTAGTAACTCAACGTGTTATTTTTCAAAACTACCCAACGATCCTGCCACCCATGAATGTAGTTTGTCCACTGGGAGTAGGGAGAAGCAGGGGGAAGGAAAACAAAAAGTAAGAACTTAGTATTTTAGAAATCCAAACTTTCTGAAATAGCCATCACTATAATTTTAAGACCTAAACGTGAGAAGTTCTAACATAACTATAAACAGTAAAAAATATTGTAAGAAGTGGAAAGTTGATATTTTTCTAAATTTTTAATAATTTTCAGTAAACTTTATAAAATTATAAATATTTTCTTCTAAGATTTGAGGAATAAAACAGAAGCAGATTCCAGTTTAAAATTTTGCTTTGCTCTGCACAGCAAAGGAATCCAATAAAACAATAAGGCACAATGTGAATGGTAAAGATATTTGCAAATGATACTTCTGATAAAGGGTTAATATCCAAAATATATATAGAACTCACACACCAACAACTAAGAGAGCAACAACAAAAATCAGATTAAAAAATGGATAGAGAATCTGAGTATACAGACATTTTTCTAAGGAAGACATATGGATGACCAACAGGCATATAAAAAGATGTTCAACAGCACTAAAAGTTAGGGCAATGCAAATCAAAACCAAGTGAGATATTACCTCATACCTGTTAGAATGGCTTTTATCAAAAAGACAACAAATAAGTGTTGTTGAGGATGTGGAGGAAAGGGAACCCTTGTGCACTGATGGTAAGATTGTAAACTGGTATAGCCGCTATGGAAAACAGCATGGAGGTTCCTCAAAAAATTAAGAATAGAGCTACCATATGATCCAGCAGTTCCTTTTCTGGGTACTGATCCAAATATTAAAATACTAATTCAAAAATATATATGTGCCCCTATGTTCACTGCAGTATTATTTACAACAGCCAAGATACAGAAACAACCTATGCGTCCACTGATGAAAAAAATGGGTAAAGATGTAGTCTGTGTGTGTGTGTGTGCATGTGATACTACTCAGCCATGAAAAATGAAATATTGCCATACTGACAAAATGGATAGCCCCTGAGGTTGTTATCCTAAGTGAAGTAAGTCAGATGGAACAGAAAAGGACAAAAAAACTATGATTTCACTCATATGTAGAACATAAAACAAAAAAGGTGGCAAATAAACTAATGAAACAAAAAAAACAATCTCATAGATACAGAATGATGGTTACCAAAAAGGAAGGGAGGTGGTGGGAGGGTGAAATGGATAAAGGGGGTCAAATACACGGTAACAAATGGAAATTAAGATTTTTTTGTTAGTGTTAAGCATGACAGAGTACACAGATATTGAAGTACAATATTGAACACCTGAAATTTATGCAATCTTATTAACCAATGTGACCTCAATTAAAAATTAATTTAAAAAACTATACTTTGTTCTTTGCATGTTTTCATCTTTCCCTCCTCATCACCATCATGACACTTAAATTGTTTTGGTCCCTGCTACAATTAACACATTCAACAGAAAAGTAAGTTTGGTTATATAGTCTGTTACTCTCCTACAAGTACTGCATGAAACCTGCTAAATCAACAGAAATATGAAGCTAATCATAGCCAAAACTGTACTTTTGTTGTAAGTCATTCCCATATGAAAATTTATGATGTTCATAATTATATTAAAGTAAAAAACACTAGATCATTCATCTTTAGTAAGTCTGTATCAACTCCATTTTTTTCCTCCATGGAATTCAACATTGAATACTTAAAAGTTAATTCATTTTCCAAAGTTCTCTGAAGATCTATTGTTCAAACTCAAAACTAATAATACAAATAAAAAACTGGTTTTTCAAAAACATATCTGGATTATCTGTTCCCAGTACCTATAAATGGTTTCTGTTTTGCTAAACTTTTGCTGCACGCTGAAGATCACAATAAACTGGCAACAGCAGAAATGTAACCTCTTGTTGATTTTGCATATTTCTATGTTCTGGGGGTTTAAATATAGACAATTCTAAAACTGTCTGCCAAAAACTAATTCAAATGGATTGTTAAACATATACATATTGCAATGGTTCAGGCTCTTTTTACCCACTGAGAAATCTTTACTTTCCTATTCCCTCATTCAGCACATTTGAGATGTTCTGATCTTAAATCTTCTAAAACCCCGTCATTATAACCCCTCCCTTAGAGCCCATCCTTGCAGGAAATTAAACTCATTCTTTCCTAAGGGCTCCCTAATAGCCATTTCTTTACTTTCAAATCCCTGTGACTTAAACTGCAAACTGAAATGAAGATTCTGGCCCTGGCTGGGAGCTTGCCTAAACTCCACCTCATGTCTCTGCCCAAACCCCTACCCCCCCTCCCTGCCCCCACAACAGCAGGAGGTGAGTAGCTGCTGCCAAGTGAACAAGAGAAGCTCACGTGAGCTCCGCCTCCTGACACCCCCACCCCTAGGGGGTGGGAACAGTCCCTGATGCCAAAAAAGGCTGGGGACCCCTGGGTTAGAGAGCATCCTTCTGATATACCAGGGTTTCAGGTTCAAGCCCTGGTCAGGGCACATACACGAATCAACCAATGAATGCATCCAGTAAGTGCAACAACAAACTGATGTGTCTGTCTCTCTAAAATTCATTTAAAAAAATAAAGAAAGAATGATTCTTAAATACAAAATTGAATTTACCCCCTCTCTTAAGGACCTCCTTATGTTCCCATTTCCTTGACTTCTGGAGAATCGGTCAAGACTATTTCCTTGACTTTGGCAGTCACTCAGACTCAAACCTGCCTGAGGGTTTGCGTATTGCATTGACAGAGTAGTGGATACAAAATCAGAGACTCAACTACTTTATTAGTTACGTGAGGAGTTTTGAAATTATTAACTCTTCTGAACTTCAGTTTCTTTGCCTATTATTTGATGTTAATGACCGAATAAAATTGTGAAGATGCTTACTATATTCATAGGAGATACTCAATACCTGAAGGTTCCTTCTCAATCCTTATAGTCCATTATCAACTCCTACGCATCTTTCCTTCATATTAAACTCTTACATTTGACTCCTCTATTTTCAATTAATCCAATTAAATTATCAGGTTCCTAGATTCCTGAGATGGTTTAATAACCTAATCTCTAGTATCTTCTGCTATTTATCCCATAATTTACATTATCTTATTTACTTATGAAGCCTACTTATCTTACATCAATTTCATTGAACCTTCAGTTCCACAACTTACATGAACAACTCCCTATTGCCAATAATACAAATTGTTTACTGGCATATCTTAATCCACCTCACTTCCAATTACTGCCCTTCAGAAGGCCAGTAACTGAGTGACTGTGGTTAGGTTACTTATTCTCTCTGTTTCTCTGTTAAACTGTACCTTATAATTATTAAGATAAAATAAGAATAGACTTAGAACATTGCCAGGCACATAGTACTTTCTGAATTGGAGGCAGGTACACATAGCTAATGAGGCTTAACCTTAGGCACAGCTCACTAGAATGGACCCATTGGGAAGTGACAGAAGGTGCCCCAGGAACATTGTGTCCACAATTTTATATTATTTCCTTACAGAGGATTCAGTAAATTACATAAGCCTCAGGACCCTTTACTCAATAACATTAAACTATTATTATACCTAGAAGGCAGATTTTTGCCTTTCTCTACCCTTATAAGGTACCTTCACTCTTCCCCATTTATCAAATAGAGACAGGGCAATGTGCTTGACACCACAAAGGAATCAAAGATTTCTGTTCCCAAGTTGTATTTTCAAAAGGAAAAAGAAACCTACATTTAAAATAAGAAAAAGAAATGTTACAAATAAAATGGTATGGGAATCCAAGGAAAGGAGATCTGGAATAGTCAGTGAAATAAAAAGCTTTGTGGAAAGAACAGTATTTGAGGTGGACTCTGAATTAGGATAGAATTTTAGTCAACAGATGTGTGGAGAAATAGAAGGTAAATTAAACCTCAAAGGATGAAAATTCAGAAGCTGGACGCTGGATGCAATTTATTTCATCCAGGCTTAGTTGCTCGCAAGTCCTACTAAAGCAGGAAGCTTTTCCCAACCATAATTCATCCTGATACTTCTTAGAGCCACCTAGAATTACCATCTATCCAGTATTTTTGGAATCTACATACTTAATTATAAATGCTATAAAAATAAGCTTCACAGGTATTTCCAGGTATTTTAGATTACCGAATAGAAAAAAACTTTAAACTGGTTTAACAGATTAATCAAATTAGTATTAGGACATATCTACATTAATCAGTAAAAGGGAAAGATGCTGAGCTCTAACTCATATTTTAATCACCAAGTGAATGAAAGGGACTCAAAATATATACTGGTATGTACTGTGAATTTTGAAACATGTATTCAATATAAAAGTCTTCATTAATAAGCTTTCAGAAAACATTATGTATGCTCACAAATTGTTAAATTCCAGGGAAATTACCTTCAAAGCTGTTAACAAGAATAATACCAACACCTATATTTCTGTTGATCTAAGTATGCAGAAACACTGAAGTTATTTATCTACCACAGAAGTGGTCAAATATTCTATTTCCACACATTTAAGTATCAAAGAGACAGTCTTTTATTCTGCTATATTTCCATACAGTATACCTACTACACTACTCCGAATAAGGTAAATACTCAGAGAACTGGTAATTCCACTAGTCACTCCACCCGCCCCCTATTCATGATGAATAGGAGCATGGCTTGTTTTGTCAAATACTTAGCACAACCATAATATTAATTTGAAATTCTGCTTATCACCTAATGAGAACAGCAATGAAACTACCAGAATCACCCACAAGCAAAAAGCCCATTTCATAATAATCCATCTGAAAATATATACCTATTACACCTTGATTTCCATACAGATTCCTAAATTACAAGATACATTTAATCTAGAGAAACCCTAGAGAGCTTCTTTACTGAAAACCTTTCAGTGAAATTCCAGTAATGATCACAGTATCAACGCACACCATAATTTTTCTGCTACACAAGTTAACACTTGTAAGCCTTAGTTCTGACACATTAATGCCTTTCTTAGACCCCTTCTCACCAGCCTTCTGAATACATTATAAACACCTAATACGAAACAATTCCAAAAGATGTCCAAATACTTAGCCAAAGTATGTACACTGGAAGCAAAGTGATTTCTTAATAGCTGCACATGACCTAGTATCTTATGACCAGCTTGTTAAAGACTTGCCCTGGATCCCTCTTCTCCAGGTTAAATGCTAGCTCCAGCCATTTCTAAAAGTTTAACAGGAGTGGAGAAGGAAGTAAAAAAACAAAAAACAAAACGCAACATAAATCTCCTCACAACTTTAAGAAAAAATAAATAAACAAAAAGCACTTCCTATGTGCTAGTAAAAGATCACCCATCTCTCTTCCAAAGACTCATCGATCGTAACTAATTAGCTTTAGAGTCCTACAAATGAACTATCTACTGTGCTAAAATTTTGAAAGAGAAGCTTTAAAAGATACAGGAAAGGTAGTATTACTGCAAGAATATTTTATTAAATAATGCTCTCCTTCCTGGACTAAAGGTCAGTCTCCATTCCAACATGTTCCAAGTTACTATGAGTATTTTTTTATACCTACTACGTGGTGATTCGATAGCTCTTTTCAGAATAGGGCCAAAGGGTGAGGGGAAAAAGTACAAAACTCCTCCTCAGTGAGATCTCTCCCTACATCTAACCTGGCATAGTTTTCCACCCCAGATTTTAGCACCAAGTATAGCTGCGACGGCTTCTGTCTAAACAGCCACATTCCCAGAACCCCCCAACTCTACTCTGCTGGGCATCTCCACACTAACCACATTTGAGGTCCGATTTACATTGCTCCCACACCCAGTTGTTCGGACACTGCCATGGCTCAACCTGGATTTCTATACCCAGGAGAGCTGTCGCCCTGAGTCCCAAGTCATGGTGCGCATCCCGCTCCCTAACTGGATCCGGTGTTGGGACAGGTTTCCCCCGTCCTCGCAGCAGGCCACTGCCGACACTCGGGGCAGACAAGGAGGACAGTTCCTTTTTCGTTCCCCACTCCATCCCTAGCCGGGGTACTCCAGCGGCAGAACTCTGTCCTGCACCCCCCACACACATTCTGAAGCCTCCGCCCCGGGACAGACCTTACCTCCCGTCCAGCCCCACCCCATGCCCTCAGTGGTTCGCCTCGCGGCAGGTGAGTCTGGGCCAGGGGCCCTTGGCCCGGCGGGTTGCTCACCTTGCTGAGGACCCCACAGCGCTCCACAGGCGGTCCGGACTCCGTCTCCGGATCCTCCTCCGAGCCCGAGGAGTTCCAGCTCTGGTTATCCGACATGGAGGCGCGACAGACGCGCAGGAGACCGACCCCCGCTCCAAGAGCTGCGCCGGAGGAGGCGCCCAGTCCCCGGGGTGAAATGTCGGGGGATGGCGAAGGGAAGAGTGCCCGCTCCGGTGCTGGGGGGTGCTGGAGGTGGGACGAAGTCCGCCCCACGCGCCGCCGCGCCTGACACCGAGCGGACAGGGGAAGGAGGGCAAGCGGCGAAGGAAGCCTGCCCTTCCAGCCGTCGGCCGCCACCTTCGCCGTGACCCCTGCGCTGCGACCGGCGCCGCCACCCGAACTCAGTTCTCTCGTGGCCAATCTCAAAAGGAGAAGAGAAGGGGGAGGAAGAAGAGAAGAGATAAACCAGCTGCAGAGACCCAGGTCCACTCACACTACTGCTCCCGCCGCCATCTTCCTGCCTGGCCCACTATTTACCCTTCCCTCCCCTCTTCCCTCCTCTTCGTCCTCCCATTCTCCCCCGTTCTCCGCCCTGTTCCCTCCCAACGTCTGACGCAGCACGCCAGTGGCTTGGGGTCCCTCCCGTACCCTACCTCCAGCCCTCCGGGGTGACGCCAGATAGAGAAGTGGGAGGAGCTGAGAGAGAAGGGACGGGGACACCACAGTACTGCATTCTGGGAGGGACCCGTTCTGTCAGCCGCGTTGCCTCCTGGGAGTTGTAGTCGTAATTCTGAGTCGACTGGTAGAGTGTTTAGACCTGGTAAGTCTTGTTGTCTTGGGGACGATCAAAGGATGGGTGGGCTTCGTTTGACAGTTGCGTGAGTGGTTCCCTCCGCCACGTTTCTCTTTCAGCCTAGCGTGTTTATGACGAACCCTGCAGGCTTGCAGGGCCGGACATGAGCTAACTCTCCTCTGAGGATGCCGGGCCTGGCTTCCTGAAAGCCCGGGAGCATTTTGCCGCCAGCCTGGGCTGGAGCTTACTGGACCCTTCCGCCTCAACCAGGGCTAGCGGTTTGAGATCTTTGTAGTGACAAAGGGTTCCCCCAAACCATCTCCGCAAATTTTGATGGTCTTTCGTCTCACTGTTTAGAAATTAGACTTTACACTTGACGTCCCGCTTTTGAAGGAGAAAATTTCAGTTCCTTCTTACCAAACACTTCGCATGGTTAGATTTCTAGAGTTTTCTTTTCTGTTAAGTAATTATAAAGGTGCCAGGGAATAAATCATGCCTGAAGAATTTTCAAAGTAGAATAAGAATGTGAGGTGACAGCCTGGTATTTCCTTTTAGCTGTGAATGAGTGTCTTCCTGAGACTCAGGTTAAACATCTCTACCGACCCACTACCGCTCTCTAGAGCAGTAGATAAAAGATAAAAAAGGTTGGAATAGAAATTTGGTTCACTAAGAATGACTGAAGTGCACTAGACCTTGAACACTAAGGGGTTATGGAATAGGAGGCTAACTTTTTTTTAAGACTAGAATTAGTGGCAAAAGCAATAGAAAGTGTAGCAGATCATATTTAGTCTTTTTTGCATTCATTATAAGGACAACTTTACGAGATCTTGAACTTTGTAGTTTCAGGTCTTTGCTACTTTTACAATTTTGTCAATTTCTTAATAATTGCCAACAATAAAATTCATTATTAAACCATAGAGAAAATGGTTTACCAGTTTACCATATAGAAGTGAAATTTTGAGTTTGGTGGAAAAGGCACTGCAGCCAAAAATACCAATGATAGCTTTAGAGACCAACTTGACTGGGATCTTAAAGCAAGAATGGAATGATGGGAAGTGTCTCAGACAAGTACCTATCTTCCATTCCCAAGATTGCCGAATCTGCTGTAAACTGGTTACACATCACTTTTTGTTGTAATCAGGTGATCAATGAAAGCCATTCAGATGAATAAAATCTTGAGATAAAGCTTTCGAAGTACTTTGTCAATGTAATAATGTAAACATAATTCCAAAGTTGTCATTCAAAAGAGAAAAAAACATTTAGCACATTTTTCCTCTGTATTGAATTATCAAATTACACCTTTAGAATGTTGAATGCTGTAGCAATCAAGTTTTGTTTTGCCTTCCAATTACGTAATACAGTTAGACTTTCTATTTCTGATTTTTTTAAAAGATTTTATTTATTTTTAGAGGGGAAGGGAAGGAGAGAGGGAGAAAAATATCAATGTGTGGTTGCCTCTTGTATGTCCCCTGCTGGGAACTGGCCTGCAACCCAGGCATGTGCCCTGACTGGGAATTGAACCGCAATACTCTGGTTCACAGGCCCGTGCTCAATCCACTGAGCTACACCATCCAGGGCCTATTTCTGATTTTTTTAAGCCTGAGTTTTAAAGTGTCATTAGTCTTAAGCAAATAATTGTGGATTACCAAGAAATTTACTTCATAATGCAATTTAGAATCATGGAAACATAGTATATCTTTAAATTGTACTTTCTGTTTTATTTCATGCATTTCTAGGTCATGCATTTATTTTATGCATTTCTAGATCACTTAACAGAAAATTGTTTCAATTGTTACATATAATTTAGTACTAATATGAGAAAAATTTTGTTTTTTTCTTTTTATTGAAATTTGTTGGGGTGACACTGGTTAACAAAATTCTACAGGTTTCAGGTGCACAATTCTACAATACATCATCAGTACACTGTATTGTGTGTTTATCACTCCCAGTCAAGTCTACGTCCAACACCATTTTTTTTAAAACATGTATTTTATTCATTATGCTATTACAGTTGTCCTATTTTCCCCCTTTCATTCCCTGCACATCCTCTCCCACCCAGATTCCTCCCCCTTTAGTTCATGCCCATGTGTCATAAGTTCTTTAGCTTCTACATTTCCCATACTATTCTTGCCCTCCCCCTGTCTATTTTCTACCTACTGTCTATGCTACTTATTCTCTGTACCTTCTCCCCCCTTTGTCCTCCTCCCACTCCCCTTTTGCTAACCCTCCATGTGATCTGCATTTCTATGGTTCTGTTCCTGTCCTAGTTGTTTGCTTAGTTTGTTTTTGTTTTAGGTGTGGTTGTTAATAATTGTGAGTTTGCTGTCATTTTACTATACATATTTTTATCTTTTTCTTAGGTAAGTCCCTTTAACATTTCATAAAATAAGGGCTTGGTGATGATGAACTCCTTGAACTTGACCTTATCTGAGAAGCGCTTTATCTGCCCTTCTATTCTAAATGAAAGCTTTGTTGGATAGAGCAATCTTGGATGTAGGTCCCTGCCTTTCATGACTTGGAATGCTTCTTTCCAAGTATTCCAAGTATTCCAAGGGGCCTTGCAGGCCCCTCCTTGCCTGTAAGGTCTCTTTTGAGAAATCAGCTGACAGATGGGAACTCCTTTGTAGATGATTGACCCCTTATCTCTTGCCGCTTCTAGGATTTTCTCCTTCATTTTAATCTTGGGTAATGGTAATTATGATGTGCCTTGGTGTGTTCCTTCTTGGGTCCAACTTCTTTGGGACTCTCTGAGCTTCCTGGACTTCCTGGAAGTTTATTGCCTTTCCAGATTGGGGAAGTTCTCCTTTATTATTTGTTCAAATAAGTTTTCCACTTGTGGCTGTTCCTCTTCCCCTTCTGGTAGCCCTACAATTTGGGTTTTGGGATGTTTAAAGATGTCCTGGAGGTTCCTAAGCCTCTCATTTTTTTGAATTCTTATTTCTTTTCTGTTTTTTAATATGTTTTTTTAATTTTATTGATTATGCCATTGCATTTGTTCTATTCCCCCCTTCATTCCCCTCCACCCTGCACACCCCTCCCCCACCATTCCCCCCTTTAGTTCATGACCATGTGTCTCAAGTTCTTTAGATTCTGTATTTCCCCTACTATTCTTTCCCTCCCCTCTATTTTCTATCTACTGTCGATGCTACTTATTTTCTGTACCTTCTCCCCCCTTCTTCTTCTCCCACTCCCCTGTTGCTAACCCTCCACATGATCTTCATTTGTTTACTCCTCATCTAGCTGTCCTCTTAATTTGCTTTTGTTTTAGGTGTGGTTCTTAATAACTGTGAGTTTGCTGTCCTTTCACTATTCACCTTTTTTATCTTCTTTTTCTTAGGTAAGTCCCTTTAACATTTCATATAGTAAGGGCTTGGTGATGATGAACTCCTTGAATTTGAGCTTATCTGAGAAGCACTTTATCTGTCCTTCCATTCTAAATGAAAGCTTTGCTGGATAGAGCAATCTTGGTTGTAGGTCTTTGGATTTCATGACTTGGAATACCTCTTTCCAGCCCCTTCTTGCCTGTAAGGTCTCTTTTGAGAAATCTGCTGACAGTCTGATGGGAACTCCTTTGTAGGTGACTGTCCCCTTATCTCTGGCTGCTTCTATGATTCTCTCCTTCATTTTAATCTTGGCTAATATAATGATGATGTGCCTTGGTGTGTTCCTTCTTGGGTCCAACTCTTTGGGACTCTCTGAGCTTCCTGGATTTCCTGGAAGTCTATTTCCTTTGCCAGATTGGGGAAGTTCTCCTTTATTATTTGTTCAAATAAGTTTTCTACTCATGGCTGTTCCTCTTCCCCTTCTGGTACCCCTATAATTCGGATGTTGAAACGTTTAAAGATGTCCTGGAGGTTCCTAAGCCTCTCCTCATTTTTTTGAATTCTTATTTCTTCATCTTTTTCTGTTTGGTCATTTTTTTCCTCCTTTTGGTCCACTCCTTTGATTTGAGTCCCAGTTTCCTTTCCATTACTATTGGTTTCCTGTGTATTTCCCTTCATTTCAATTAGTTTAGCCTTCATATGTTCCTCTAATTTGTGACTAAAATCAACGAGTTCTGTGAGCATCCTGATCCCCAGTGTTTTGAACTGTGCATCTGAAAGTTTGGCTATTTCTTCATCACTTAGATTTATTGGCTCTGGAGTTCTGAGTTGTTCTTGAGCCATGTTTTGATCTGTTCTTGTCTGTTATGTATGAGGAGCGGAGCCTTAGTGGCCCCAGGGCGGGGCCACCCAGGTCACTGGTTTGTGATGCTGTATATGGGGGCGGGGTCAGAGAGGGGGCAATGGCGATCCTCTCCGCTCGCCCAGTATGCCTCACCGCTTGCCCCCACCTGTTTATCTGAGCGCAAATGTGCGAGCCCACTGCCCTGCGCCAGGGCCTGCACCGTCGTCGTCTGTGTCAATGCTTGTCTCTTCACTGGTTTATCTGCTCACAAATACGCGACCTCAGACAGCCAGCTCTGCCACACCGTGCCTTTCCGCAGCTACCCCGCACCTGGGATTCGCGCCCTCGGCTACTTGCGCACCGCCTGGGTCAGGGGATATTTTTTGCTCCACCCGCTCCGCTGCTGGCTTCGCCTCTCTCACCAGTTTAGCTGAGCAGTCCGTTGTTTTCGGACTTCATATTGTTCGATTTTCTGTGGTTTGGTTGTGTTTATTGTTGTTAAAACTTTGTTATTTTTAGATTTGGTTGTGCGAGGAAGCAAAGTGTTTCCACCTAAGCCTCCATCTTGGCAGAAGTCCTTATTTCTTCTTTTCTGGTTGGATGTTTCTTTCTTCCTTCTGGTCCACTCCATTGATTTGAGTCCTAGTTTCCTTCCCATCATTGTGGGTTCCCTGTACATTTTTCTTTATTTCACTTAGCATAGCCTTCACTTTTTCATCTAATTTGTGACCAAATTCAACCAATTCTGTGAGTGTCCTGATCACTGGTGCTTTGAACTGTGCATCTGATAGGTTGGCTGTCTCTTGGTCACTTAGTTGTATTTGCACTAGAGCTTTGATCTGTTCTTTCATTTGGGCCTT